ACTTTTATTTGCTGTGCCCAGTCAAGCATTTAAATCAGCAGCTATTTTGTAATGGCTCATTGCTAGTGCTGCTTGCTACTCAGCGCTGTTGCTCTGCCTCCAACTGCAATGTGGAAAAGAAAACAAAAAATAATGGAAAAACGCTACACTTTCATTCACTGACAATGAGATAGTTTGTTTGAAAACTTTAGTATCCTGTTTTGCGGCAGGCATTACATACATACATACCTATGTGCATACTTGTGCACATCTATGTAAGTGTAAACAGAGATATAATCTCCAAATATGTATGTATGGTGATTATACGCTGCCAAAATCCCAGCAGTATCCAGCTGTGCCTGCCACCGCCACCGACCGGTCAATAGGGTCGACCAACCGACCGCACCACCTATTCGCCTGACCAGTTGTGCACTCAATAGCCAGCAAGTAGCAAAGCTTATCTAGTCGGCAATTCATTCATTTATTTAACACCCACATTCGTACATTGATGCATTTGCTCTCACAATTCGAGTGGCGGAAAGCCCATTTACTGCTCGACTTATTTGGCTATAGGTTTGGCCTCATGTATTCGAGCAGCAGGTGGTCGGTCACATGCACATGTATGCATGTGTGTATATGTGTGTTTGGCTGTGCATAATGGTGATGCTTCTTAAAAATACAGTAAGCAAGAAATAATAAAAGCTCCCTTCTAACTGCTGGAATTCTCATTCGGTTTATCAAATAGTTTTTTTGTAAAAACGTTAGACTTTATATATAAAAAAGCTTACTATCGAAGTCACGAACCATAATGATTACACCAAATGCCAGAAATGTAGCGTGGTTGCTGCCTTCATTTGTTGCATTTGCTACAATTCTCATCAAATAAAACTTCTGATAATATTTGCGTGTCCACAACTACTTCAGGGTTTTAACTTAGCTTGAGAGTCTGGAAACTCTGAAACATAGTTAACAGTTCGTAAGCCCAAGTGGAAGATCGACCTATCTCGGCAGCCGGTTCGAAAACGCCCTATCTCGGAAAACTTTTCAAGAACGCGTCTACTTCAAAATTTGGTTGAAGAACGCTGAAAATAAATTAAAAATATGTTGAGATAGGGCGTTTTTGAACCCGCAACTGAGGCGTTCTTTAACCAAATTCAGAAATAGGGCGTTCTTGAAAAGTTTTCTGAGATAGGGCCTTTTCGAACTGGCTGCCGGGATAGGTCGATCTTCCACTCAGCCGTCAATATGGAGTAAGAAATGCTTAAGGAATGGATATGCTGATGGCCTTAAGTGTATGTAAATAGTTCTATAATTAATAAAATAGTTCTTCCCTCCCGATGTTGTTAATCATTATTATAAATATCGATCAGAGAGCAGGCTACTCCTATAATAATCTCCATGACGATCACTTAAGTAAGTCATTTCGAGCCGAAGAAGAAATTAATTCACGTAGTTGGAGAAAAATTATGTAAACTTAGTACTATTGAGCCTAGACAAGCAAGTCGTTTGGACTCGAATGAGTACTTATCGAGAGCTCAATAATGCCTGAAGCTGCTTCGGGCCAAGAAAGCTCCTAAAAGCACTAATTTTGGTATTCACGAAGCTTCATAAGACTATAGATATGCTGAGCTTTTAAGACTCTTTACCGATTTACAAACTTCCCTTGATCTTCACGTCATTTAGATCATGAATGAGGGATTCGAAAAGTAATACTTTGCGCATTGGACTCATATAGCTCTTTAGTACTTCGAAAATGCTAAAACCAGAGACTGTGACACACTTTTCGGTAAGTGTTAAGAGGGTTTTTGAAAAAAAAAAGTTTCAAGAAAAGAACACCTCAGATCTTTTTGCTTAGTGTTAAAAGGTTTTTTGGAAAGATGTGTCCAAAAATTAACACCTGAGTACTTCTAAGTGCGGAAAAAGAAATCTTAAATGTCTTTGGCCCATAAGCTTTAATTATTTTTCCTTCCGCCAATTTTAATACTTCAATAAATACGTTTCCTTTATATTCTTCTCATTCTCATTAGCAATTACACTTATTTACTTTGTTGCAATTTCATTTTACTTGCTTTCCATTCAAACTCAACAGGTTCCGTGAACTATGTGTGTGGTTTGTTAATCAGAAATGGTTCGACAATGTTGTCCTGCTGTTTATCGCACTCAATTGTATTACCTTGGCTATGGAACGACCAAATATACCGCCAACGAGTACGGAGCGTTATTTTCTTGCCACAGCCAATAACGTGTTCACAGCCGTTTTTACAGTGGAAATGCTCATTAAGGTAAGTCCAGAATTACTCAGACAAAGAAAAAACAGAATGAAATACATACATAAATACATTCGACAATACTAAGGAAGATTCATACATCCACAAAACACTAACACCACCTGCAGTAGTTGTTACTGCAACCTTTAGTCTGTCTGTCCATGGCATGTCTGCTCAACCAGCATGTTGCCACGTATACAAGACTACTTTTGATGTGTATAAAGTTAGCGAAACAACATGAAGAAAAAAATGTCGCATATACCTATGAATTTGCCGTTTTTTTGCCGTTAATTAGTTGTGGAAAAAATAATTTTGTCGCTCTTGTATTTTTTTAGATATAAGGTGTTT